GGAACTGTCACCTGGGGTTGGGAATTGGCACCTGGGGCTGGGAACTGTCACCTGGGGCTGGGAACTGTTACCTGGGGCTGGGATTGTCACCTGGGGCTGGGAATCGGCACTTGGGGCTGGGAACTGTCACCTGGGGCTGGGAACTGTTACCTGGGGCTGGGATTGTCACCTGGGGCTGGGAATCGGCACTTGGGGTTGGGAACTGTCACCTGGGGCTGGGAACTGTCACCTGGGGTTGGGAACTGTCACCTGGGGTTGGGAACTGTCACCTGGGGCTGGGAATTGGCACTTGGGGCTGAGAATTGTCACCTGGGGCTGGGAACTGTCACCTGGGGCTGGGAATCGGCACTTGGGGCTGCGAATTGTCACCTGGGGCTGGGGACACGGGGACAATGGCACCTGGGGGCCCCCACGCCTCCTGCAGCAGCGACACCTCCACGGGGGGGGACAGGGACAAGGCCAGCTGGGCACAGGGACACCTGGGACCCCCCAGTGTCCCCGTGTCCCCTCACCTGGGTGACCTCGTTGACCAGCTGGATGGTGGCCACGTCGGGGCCGAGCTGCAGCGACTCCAGCAGCGCCTGGTACGGGGAGTTCCCGGGCTGGATCCGCCGCTGCCGCCTGGGGGGGCACAGGGAGGGGGGCCCTGAGTGACCCCCTGGGCCGAGCCCCCCAAACCCCCCCAGCTGTGCCCCCCCAGCCCCACACCTGCAGAAGCCGCTCTGCTCGCAGCTCTTGAAGTTGCCGCGGTCGACGGCGAGCGAGGCCCCGAGGCACAGGGTCAGCCAGAGCGGCCACCTGGGGGCACGGGGGGTCAGCGCCCCGAAAACGGGGAGAGAGACCCCCCAGATCCAGCACGGGGGGTCAGCACCCCGAAAACGGGGAGAGAGACCCCCCAGATCCAGCACGGGGGGGTCAGCGCCCCGAAAATGGGGAGAGAGACCCCCCAGATCCAGCACGGGGGGTCAGCGCCCCGAAAACGGGGAGAGAGACCCCCCCAAAACACACCTGGGGGCACGGAGGGGGTCAGCGCCCCGAAACCAGGGGAGACCCCCCGCAAATCCCATCTGAGGGGGTCAGAACCCTGAAACCACCCAGAGACCTCCCCCAAACCCACCGGGGAACCCCAAAACCAGCGGGAGACCCCCCCCAAACCCACGGGGGGACACCGGGACACCCCAAATCGCCCTTCAGGTGGGCAAGGGGGGGTCAGATAGCCCCAAAATCATTAGGGGGGGCAGCAGGGACCCCCGAACATGGAGGCGGGGGGCACAGGGCCCCCCCCCCCAAAAAACACTTCAGGTGAGAACGGGGGGCTCCAGATCCCCCAAATGACATCTGTGGGGGCACGGATCCCAAAAACCAGCGGAGGGGACACGGGGGGGCATTGGGAGGGTAAAAGCTGGGGTAGGGACCCCCCCCCAAACCCGCGGGGGAAGCACAGGGACTCCCCCCAAACCCACAGGGACACCCCCACCGGCACCCAGAGACAGCAGGGGGGACACGGGGGGGGTCACAGAGCAGATTTCGGGGGGGTCGCGGGGGAATTTGGGAGGGAGGGTCCCACAGGGGCTGGGGGGGGGTCGGGGGTGTGTGGGGGGCTGGGGGGGGGGGCTGGGCCGCAGCCCGGGCCCGAGGATTTGGGGGGGTCTCGGGCGCTCAAGGCCCGGCCGGGGGGTCCCGGGGGGGGTTTTGGGGCGGGAAGGTCCCGTGGGGGGGTCGGGGGTGACTTTGGGGGTCCCGTGGGGGGTGGGGGGGGTCGGGCCGCTGGCGCGCGCTCACCGCCCCAGCGCCGCCGCCATCTTGGATCCGGCCTGACCCTTGACCCCGCCCCCCGGCCCGACGCAGCCGCCCCCCATTGGCTGCAAACGGCCACGCCCTCCGCCCCGCCCTGGCCACGCCCTCCCGCGGGGTTCCCGCCTTACCTGGTTCCCGGGGAGACGTAGGCCCCGCCCTCCTCGTGTTGTGATTCGCGCGCGAGGCTTGAGCGACCGCAGCACAACCCAATCAGAGCGCGGCTCGGGAAAGAGGTGTGAACGCAGCGTGAGGGCAGGACGGAAACCCAATGAAAGCGCGGGAACGCTGAGTGACACACTGTTTTGTCCAATCAGAATACTGCTTCCAGACGGTGCCCCGCCCCCTAGGGCTTCCGTGGCAACCCCCCGCCTCCGCGCTCATGGCAACCACCTCCCTGGCGACCGCGGCCCGTCCTTTCCGAAGAGCCAACCAGCAGCGCGGATTCCTGAGTGGCGGCATCCGCGGCCAATCAACCAACGTTTCTGGCACAGCTTTGCCCGGTCATATTGAGGGACAGGTTGATTAACCAATGAGAGCGGAGTGGCGGCACTCCGGGGCCGCCAATCAGCGCGGGGGGGCGGGGCGTAGGCAGGCCGCGGCTTTGTGGTGAGCGGGGCCGGGGGCGCTGGGGGGGAACTGGGACAAACTGGGACAAACTGGGACAGACTGGGACCGACCGGGCTGGACCGGGGCCGAGCGGGACTCGTGGGGCCGTGCTGGGATTGACTGGGATGGGCCCCTGTGGGATTGACTGGGACCCAATGGGTCACAGGGCCAGACTGGGATGAACTGGGATGGGACTGGGATGAACTGGGATGGGACTGGGATGAACTGGGATGGACTGGGCTGGAACTGGGCCATACTGGGATGGGCTGAGCCGCACTGGGATTGCCTGGCTGGCCCAGCTCCTGCCCGTGTGGCCCCTCCACCCCCCGGGATCCCGGACCCCGCTTTTCCTTGGCCCCATTCCCCCCTCAGCCCACCAGAACCCCGAACTGCTCCCGTTCCCCCCCCCAGTTCCAGCACCCCCACCCCGATGGGGTTCCCTGCGCTTTGATCCCGCTCTGATCCCCGTTTTTCCCCATTTCCCCCCATTTTCGAGCCCCCCAATCCCGATTGAGTTCCCGGAGCACTGAGCACCCATTTTCCCTGGGTTTTCCCCATTTTCTCTCAGCAGCCCGATGGAGTTCCCCAAGCACTGATTGCCCATTTCCCCCATTTATTTCCCCATTTCCTCCATTCCCTGCAGCCCGATGGAGTTCCCCCAGCACTGATTGCCCATTTTCCCCGTTTATTTCCCCGTTTTTCCCCAGCCCGATGGAGTTCCCCGAGCACAGCCGGCAGCTGCTGCGGGGGCTGCGGGAGCAGCGCTCCCGGGGGATCCTGTGCGACTGCACGGTGCTGGTGGGCACCGCGCCCTTCCCGGCGCACCGGGCCGTGCTGGCCGCCTGCAGCTCCTTCTTCCACCTGTGCTACGCCGAGCCGGGCGGCGCGGGCGGGGCGCGGGGCGCCGTGGTGGCCCTCAACAGCGACATCGTCACGGCGCCCGCCTTCGCGCTGCTGCTGGAGTTCATGTACGAGGGGCGGCTGGCGCTGGCCGCCCCGCTGGAGGACGTGCTGGCCGCCGCCAGCTACCTGCACATGAACGACGTGGTCAAGCTGTGCAAGAAGAAGCTGCAGGCGCGGGGCCCGGCCGAGGCCGACAGCACCAAGCGGGAGGAGGACGCCGCCAGCCCGGCCCCGCCGCAGCCGCCGCCGCAGCCGCCGCTGCAGCCCCCGCCGGGCGACGCGGGGACGCCGCCGGAGCCGCCGCTGGTGGACGCGGCCGACACGACCCAGCCCGGTGTGGGCGGCGAGCGACCCCCGCCCAGCCCCAGCAGCTCCTGCGAGGCCGCGCCGGGACCCGGAGCCGCCGCCCCGTCCGCGGGCGGGGGTCCCTGGGTCGCGCCCCCCGGCCCCGCCGCTGCCATCAAGGCCGAGGCCATCGTGATCTCGGACGAGGAGCCCGACGGCGCCCGCCGCCCCGCCGCTCCCCCTCCTGCTCCTCCTCCTCCGCCGCCGCCGCCGCCGCCGCCTGCCCCGGGCCGAGCGGCGGGATTTGGGGAGGGGGCGGCGCTGGCCCCGGCGCTGGGGGGGCTGCGGGAGCCGCTGTTCCTGGCGCCGCTGGAGCCCCGCGGGGGTTTCGGGCTGTTCGCCGAGGAGGCCCCGACGTGCCCGACCTGCGGGAAGACGTTCTCGTGCTCATACACGCTGCGGCGCCACGCCACCGTGCACACCCGCGAGCGGCCCTACGAGTGCCGCCACTGCCTGCGCTCCTACACGCAGTCCGGGGACCTGTACCGGCACGTCCGCAAGGCGCACAGCCACGGCGGGCCCGCCCGCGGGCCCCGCGACCCCGCCCGCGACGGCGACAACCCGCCCTGACCGCCGCGGCCGCCCGGGGAACCGGGATGGACCGAGCCGAGCCGAGCCGGCGGCGGGGCTCGGACGGGGACACCGGGATGGGGACAACTGCTCTGGCCGGGGACACCGGGACGGGGATGCCTGCTGCCACCGGGGCACCGGGACTGCGACACCTGTACCGTGCTGCGCCACCGGGACTGGGACACGCGCTCTGAGCGGGACCCCTGGGGCGGCAGCGGCTGCCTGGGCCGGGACCCCGGGATGGTGACACCCGCGGGGAGCGGAACCCCCGGGATCGCGACCCCGCCCCGGGGGAACGGGAGGGGCGTGGCCCCGCGGCGGGGGCGTGGCCTCGGGCGGGTGTACGGGGGTCACGCGCCAATAAGGCGACGCTGGACGCGGGCGGTGGGCGGAGAATAAAGGGGCGTGGCACCGCATGACTCCGCCCCTTGGTAGCGCCCCCTGGCGCCTGGGAGGACCCCGGTGTTGCCCCAGTCCATCCCAGTCACTCCCGCTCCCCTTCCAGTCCGTCACGGTTATTCCCAGGCCCCTTCCATTCCCCCCCAGTTCCCGCAAACCCATCCCAGTCCCTCTCATTTCCCCATAATCCATCCCAGTCCCTCCCAGTTTCCCCAAACCCATCCCAGTCCCCCTCATTCCCATCCCAGTCCTTCCCAATCCCCCTCATTCCCATCCCAGTCCCCCCAGTCCATCCCAGCTCCCCTTACACCCATCCCAGTCCCTCCCAATTCCCCTAAACCCACCCCAGTCCCCCCCAGTCCATCCCAGCGCGCCCCACAAAGCCTTAAACCACTTTAATCACAAAAATAGACTCTGTGCGGTGGCTCCTATAAAAAGGGGGGGGGTCGGTCCGGGGGAGGGGCGGGCGCCCCCCGCCCGTGTCAGGAGCAGGCGGGGGGCTCTCGGCACGGGGGGCGCACCCCGAAGAAGGCGGGCTCGGTCAGGGGGTGCAGCAGCAGCAGGAAGCCCAGCACGCCCAGCAGGTACGCGGGCAGCAGCGCCCGGCGCCGCGGGTGCCCCAGCGCCGCGCCCAGCGCCGGGAAGCCCATGGAGTTACAGAAGGAGTGGCACAGCACCGGCCCCGCCAGGTGACCTGCGGACGGGGACAGCGAGGGTGGCACCCCAAAAACACAGACAGCACCCCGGCGTCATCGATATCCCCCCCACCAGTGCCGGGGTCGCTGCATCCCCCCACCCCAAATCATCCCCAGGGAGTTACGGGAGGAGGGGAACGGTCCCGGCACCGCCAGGTGAGCTGGGGAAAGGGAAAGGGGGATTGGGGACCCCAAATGTTCACCCCAAACACATGTGGGGACAGCAAAACAGGGATTGGGGACCCCCAAAATACACCTGGGGACAGGGAAAGGGGATTGGGGACCCCAAAAACCCATCCCAAACACACCTGGGGACAGGGAAAGGGGGATTGGGGACCCCAAAAACCCACCCCAAACACACCTGGGGAAAGGGAAAGGGGGATTGGGGACCCCAAATATTCACCCCAAACACATGTGGGGACAGCAAAACAGGGATTGGGGACCCCCAAAATACACCTGGGGACAGGGAAAAGGGGATTGGGGGACCCCAAAAACCCACCCCAAACACACCTGGGGACAGGAAAACAGGGATTGGGGACCCCCAAAATACACCTGGGGACAGGGAAAAGGGGGTTGGGGGACCCCAAAAACCCACCCCAAACACACCTGGGGAAAGGGAAAGGGGGATTGGGGACCCCAAAAACCCACCCCAAACACACCTGGGGACAGGGAAAGGGGGATTGGGGACCCCAAAAACCCACCCCAAACACACCTGGGGACAGGGAAAGGGGATTGGGGACCCCAAAAACCCACCCCAAACACACCTGGGGACAGGGAAAGGGGGATTGGGGACCCCAAATATTCACTCCAAACACATCTGGGGACAGGGAAAGGGGGATTGGGGACCCCAAATATTCACTCCAAACACATGTGGGGACAGGAAAACAGGGATTGGGGACCCCCAAAATACACCTGGGGACAGGGAAAGGGGGATTGAGGACCCCAAAAACCCATCCCAAACACACCTGGGGACAGGGAAAGGGGGATTGGGGACCCCAAAAATTCACCCCAAACACATGTGGGGACAGCAAAACAGGGATTGGGGACCCCCAATATACACCTGGGGACAGGGAAAGGGGATTGGGGACCCCAAATATTCATTCCAAACACACCTGGGGACAGGGAAAGGGGGATTGGGGACCCCAAATATTCACCCCAAACACACCTGGGGAAAGGGAAAGGGGGATTGGGGACCCCAAAAACCCACCCCAAACACACCTGGGGACAGGGAAAGGGGGTTGGGGGACCCCAAAAACCCACCCCAAACACACCTGGGGAAAGGGAAAGGGGGTTGGGGACCCCAAAAACCCACCCCAAACACACCTGGGGACAGGGAAAGGGGGATTGGGGACCCCAAATATTCACCCCAAACACATGTGGGGACAGCAAAACAGGGATTGGGGACCCCCATAATACAGCTGGGGACAGGGACATGGGGACTGGGGACCCCACAACCCCCCCAGGCCCCCAAACCCACCGGTCCTGAGGAAGAGGAAGGCCGTGTAGGCCCCAAACACGGCCGTGTAGGAGAACTGGAATGCTGGGAGGGGAAAAGGGGGGTCAGGGACATCCCAAAACCCCCATGGAGACCCCCAAACCCCCACAGTTCACCATGAAAACCCCCGACTCCCCAAATCCTCACCCTGGACACTCGAAATTCCCTCAGGACACCCCAAATCCCTCCTGGACATCTGTGAGAACCTCAAATTCCACCCCCCCAGACACCCCAAACCTTCACCCTGGAGACCCCAGACTCCCTCAGGACACCCCTGGAACCCCACAAATTCTCCCCAGAGCCCCCCAAAACCCCCCTCACCTGCTGCCATGAAGATGCTGCTGACGGAGCCGTGGCGGAAGCGGAGCTGCTCGATCACGTGGTGGAAATGGGCTGAGGGAGCAGGATTTGGGTTTTTGGGGGTTTGGGTTTTTGGGGGGTTTGGGTTTTTGGGGGGTTTGGGTTTTGGGGGGTTTGGGTTTTTGGGGGGTTTGGGCTTTTGGGGGGTTTGGGTTTTTGGGGGTTTGGGCTTTTGGGGGGTTTGGGCTTTTGGGGGGTTTGGGTTTTTGGGGGTTTGGGCTTTTGGGGGTTTGGGTTTTTGTGGGTTTGGGTTTTGGGGGGTTTGGGTTTTGGGGGGTTTGGGTTTTTGGGGGTTTGGGCTTTTGGGGGGTTTGGGTTTTTGGGGGTTTGGGTTTTTGGGGGTTTGGGTTTTTGTGGGTTTGGGTTTTTGTGGGTTTGGGTTTTTGGGGGTTTGGGTTTTTGGGGGGTTTGGGCTTTTTGGGGGGCCAGGGAACATTCAGGGGTGCAGGGGAGGTGAGTCAGGGGGAGTTTTGGGGGGATTTTGGGATTATTTTGTGGTCCCGCTCACCAACCCCAAAGAACAGTGGGCATGCCATTATGGAGCGGTTTTGGGGTGGATTTTGGGGGTTTCAGTCACCAAGCCTAAAGAACAAAGAACAGACCAGACTAGGAAGTGTTTTGGGGTGTTTTTAGGGTTCCACTCACCGACCCCAAAGAAGAGAGCCTAGGCCAGCACAGGGAGGGTATTTTAGGGTAGTTTTGGGATATTTTAGGGTTCCACTCACTGCCCCAAAGAACAGGAGGCAGGCCAACACAGGGCGGGTATTTTAGATATTTTAGGGTATTTTTGGGATATTTTAGGGCTCCACTCACCGACCCCAAAGAACAGGGGGCAGGCCAGCACGGCGGGGCCGGGCCCCGTGCAGGGCACCAGCATGGGCAGCATGCAGGCCCTGAACACCAACTCCTCTGTCAGCGGGGCCACCACCTGGTTCCGCAGCCAGCGCACGTCCCCCAGGCACAGCGCCCACACCCGCGGGTCTGGGGGACCCCAAAAACCCCAGAGAGCTGAGCCCCGAAATCCCAAACACGACAAACCCAAAAAAACCCCAAAAAAATCCCCAAAACCCAAAAATCCCAGCCGCGGTTCTGTACCTACAGCACATCCCCCTGGCACAGCGCCCACACCCGTGGGTCTGGGGGACCCCAAAATCCCACAGAACTGATCCCCAAATCCCACAGAACTGATCCCCAAAATCCCATAGGACTGATCCCAAAATCCCATAGAACTGATCCCCAAAATCCCATAGGACTGATCCCAAAATCCCACAGAACTGATCCCCAAAATCCCATAAAACTGATCCACAAATCCCAGATTCTCACAGGTTCCCCAAACCCAATAAAAACCCAAAACCACCCCAAACTCGCCCATTTCACCCACTCCCCCCCCCCAAACCCCCCCCCCCATTATATTCCCTGTGTTGGGGACCACCTGCCCCCCCCAAACCCCAATTCCTAAGTCCCCCAAATTCCCACCCCCTCCCCCAAATTGTCCCCCCCTTACCCAGGGCCACCCTGATGCCATCGAGCCACCGCCAGGGACAGTCCATGGACAGCTGGATCAGGGGTCCCAGGAACAGGATCTGGGGGTCGGGGGGATTTGGGGGGAAGTCAAGGGGGTCGTACCCCACTTTTCCATCCCCTGGTGGGTCAAGGGTGGGGATCTGGGGGGGTTTTCCCTGTTTTCCACCCCATACCCACCATGGGGAGTGGGCAGGATTTGCGGGGGGGTCTAGAGAGACTTGAGGGTCTCAGAAGGGTTTTGGGGGGCTCAGGGAGAGTTTTGGGGGATCCCAGAGGGGTTTTGGGGGATCCCAGAGGGATTTTGGGGGGTCCCAGCCCCTCTCACACCCACCCTGGTGAACCAGATCTGGAGCCCTGCCAAAGGATATGGGGGTGGAGGGGGGTCAGTGAATTCTGGGGGGGGTCCTGGGGGAGATCAGAGAGACTTTGGGGGTCCTGAGGGCATTTTGGGGGGTCTTGAGTGGATTTTGTGGGGTCCTGTGTGTGTTTCAGGGAGTCCTGAGTGGGTTTTGGGGGTCCCACGGGGGTCCCACACCAACCGCACATGAAAGGCCCAGGCAGAGCATTTTGGGGGGGGGGGGCTCAATAAATTCTGAGGGGGGTCCTGGGGGTCAGGGGGATTTGGGGGAGGTTTTTGGGGGGTCGCAGCCCCCCAGACCCACCATGGTGAGCAGCAGAGGCAGCAGCGTGGCCGGGAGCAGCCCCTCGAGGCGCAGCCCCAGCAGCGCGGGCAGGGGGGTGTCAGCCTGGGTGGGGGGCAGCAATGGGAGGGGGGTCAGCGCGGTTTTGGGGGGCACTGGGACCCCCCCTCGGTTTTTGAGGATCCCCCCGAGCTCACCTTGACCCCCGTGAGCTCCTTCCAGAGCCAGACCAGGGCTGGGGCCAGCCCCGACACCACCAGGACGCTGGTGAAGCGGCGCTTGATCACCGCTGGGTGGTCCCTGCGGAGGGGCCGGGGGAGCTGGGGAGGGGGATTTGCACCCCAAAAATCCCCCCCGTGTCCCCCCCGACACCCCAAAAATCCCTCCGGTGTTCCACCAACAACCCCAGGCACTAGGAGACCCCCCCTCAACCCCTTTTTGTGCACCTGAAATCCCCCCAAAACTCCCAAGGGCCCCTCGAACCCTATGGACACCCCAGGGACCACAAATTCCCCCCGAGGACCCCAAATCCCCCCCAGGAACCACAAATCCCCCCCAAATCCTCCCCCAAGGACCCCAAATCCCCCCCAGGAACCACAAATCCCCCCCAAATCCTCCCCCAAGGACCCCAAATCCCCCCAGGGACCCCAAATCCCCACCGAGGGACCCCAAATCCCCCCCTAGGGGATCCCAAATCCCCCCCAGGGACCCCAAATCCCCCCCAGACCTCTCAAATCTCCCCCGAAATCCCCCCCAGACCAGCCCACATCCCTCCTCAGACTCCCCAAATCCCCCCCAGATCGCCCCGAGCCCCCCGGCTCGCGGCCGTACCTGGGCAGGGGGCTGCCCCACACGTACAGGCTGCCCACGTAGGAGCAGGCCAGGCTGAGGCAGCCGAGCAGCGCGGCCCAGCACGGCCCGGCCCGGGCGGCTCCGGGCGCCGCTGCCGACCCCGGCCCGGCCCAGGGGGAACCGGGGGGCTGCGGGGCCGCCATGGCGGGGCGGGGCCGGCGCGGGGGGCGGGGCTTGTGCGCGGCGGGGGTGGGGTTATGGAAATGAGGGTGGGTTGGTGATGGGCGGGGCTTGTGCGCGGCGGGGGTGGGGTTATGGAAATGAGGGTGGGTTGGTGATGGGCGGGGCTTGTGCGCGGCGGGGGTGGGGTTATGGAAATGAGAGTGAGTTGGTGTGGGCGGGGCTTGTGCGCGGCGGGGGTGGGGTTATGGAAATGAGGGTGGGTCGCTGTGGGCGGGGCTTGTGCGCTAAGGGGGTGGGGTTATGGAAATGAGGGATGGTCTGTGTGGGCGGGGCTTGCGCGCTAAGGGGGTGGGGTTATGGAAATGAGGGATGGTGTGTGTGTGGGCGGGGCTTGCGCGCTAAGGGGGTGGGGTTATGGAAATAAGGCGGGGCGGTGGGGGACTGGGAGGGACTGGGAGAAAGTTGGAAACTGGGATGGACTGGGGGAACTGGGAAACTGGGAGAACTGGGATGGACTGGGGGAACTGGGAAACTGGGAGGACTGGGATGGACTGGGGGAACTGGGAGAAACTGGGAGGGACTGGAATCAACAAGAGAGACCGACTGAGAACCAGAAATTACTGGGACAACTGCGATTGACGGTGGGAAACTGGGAGCACTGGGAGCACTGGGAGAACTGGGACTGGTGGGGCAAACTGGGATCAGTGGGGAGAGTCAACATGAACTGGGACTGGCTGGGAGAACTGGGACTGGCTGGGAGAACTGGGACTGTGAGAAGTCTCTGGGGTTGACTGGAAAATGAAACCCATGGAAGGAACTGGGAGCAACTGGTGTAACTGGGAGGAGCCAGGACTGGAGGAACTGGGAGCACTGGGAGGGGGCTCTGTCCTGTCCCTCAGAGCGTCCACTCCTCGGGGTCCTGCACCTGGGGGGTCCCGGGGGTTACTGGGAGGGTCTCGGGGGTTACTGGGGGTCCCCAGAGGAGGGAGAGAGCCCCAAACCCCACCTGGCTCTGGTTGCTCCGGGACCCTTCCTCCTCCTCCTCCTCCTGCTGCCCCTCCCTCTGCCCCCGGCGCTGCTTTTGGGGGGTCCCTGGAGGGCACAGGGGGGGTTCAGTGCTCGGGGTGGGTTTGGGGACCCCCCAGAATCCCCCATTTCCTCCTCACCCCCACGGGGCAGCCCCGGCCGGCGCGAGACCTCGGCCCATCTGCGGCGCGCGGCCGCCGCCAGCGCCGGCGTGTCCTGCACCTGCGGGGGAACACGGTGACACCGGGGACACCCCCAAACCCACCCCCAACCCAGGGGGTATCCCCCCGAACCCCCAAACCTGCAGGGCGCCCAGGCAGGCGCTGCGGAAGCGGCCGCTGGAGCTGGCGGCCACCACGGCCGTCACTGCGGCCACCGCCAGGGCCTGGGCTCGGGCCACGTGCTGCTGGGCCTGCAAGGAGGGATTTGGGGGGTCACGGGGGATTTGGGGGGGTCGGGGGGACCCCCAAACCCCGCACCCACCTGGTGCTGGCGGCGCAGCTCCCCCAGGAGGGGGTGCAGGAGGGCCCGGAGCCCCCGGGCCAGCGCGGGGCGGCCAAGGCGCAGCGTGGGCTCCAGCTGGGCCAAGAGCAGCTGGCGCGTCCCTGGGGGGGGACCCCGGATTTTGGGGGGGTCTTCGAACCGTGGGGGACCCCCCCGGAGCCGGGGTACACCCCTGAACCACGGGGATGACCCCAAAACCAAGGGGACACCCCCAAACCTTGGGGTCAGCCCCCAAACCTTGGGGGTTGGTCAGCCCAGCTCGGTGGCTGAGCTGGAATGGGGAGTCTGGGGAGGGGGGGGCACCCCAAAATCTTGTGGACACCCCTAAAATCTTGGGGACACCCCTGAAATCAGGAGACAGCCCAGAGGAACAATCCCAAAGCAGAGGCACACCCCCAAGATGAGGAGACCTCACAGAAACTGGGGACAGCCCAAAACCTCAGGGACAGCCCTAAAGTTTGGGGATCCCCTTGAGCCACGGGGACACCCCCAAAACTTGGTGACACCCCCAAGAGCTTGGGGACACCCCAAAATCGGGGTCCCCCCCCTTACCTGCGTCGTACCCCCCAAAGGGATCCCGGTGCCGCAGGAAGAGGAAAACCAGGAGGGTTTTGGGGTCCCCCTCGGGGGAAGTTTGGGGGTCCCCGTCCCCCTCAAGGGGGTCCCAGCGCACCCCAAAGGTGACATCGGGGGGCACCGGCTCTGTGGGGACAACACGGGGGGGCTGAGGGAGGGGAGAGCCCCGAAATTCCCTCCAAAAAACCCTGGAACTCCACAGACCTTCCTCATCCTCACAGGAGCCTCGGGGGTCCGGGGGGTTTTTGGGATCCAGGCGGTTTTTGGGGTTCAGGGGGGTTTTGGGGTCCGGGGGGTTTTTGGGGTTCAGGGGGGTTGCAGCCAGGCCGAAGCGCCCCCAGTCCCCCAGCAGAGAGGGGTCCCGCAGGGTTGGGGGGGCCGGGGGGGGCACGGGGACCCCCGCGGGGTCGAACAGGTAAAGGTGGGATGGTCAAGGAGAACAACAGGGGGAATGGGGCCCCCCCAAAATCCCCCAGAACCCCAAATCCCACCTGGGCATCCCGAGATCCCCCAGGGAACCCAAATTTCCCCCCTACCCCAGCACCCTGAGACCCACCCTGGACACCCCAAAATCGCTCAGGTGTCCCAAAACCCCCACAAACACCCCAAACCACCCCAAACCCCCACCTGAATATCCCAAATCCCACCCCAATACCTCAAAGCCCTCCACGAACACCCCAAATCTCCCCCCCAACACCCCCCTGAACACCTCAAATCCCACCCCAAGACCCCAAATTCCTCCCCAATCCCCCTCGAACACCCCAAACCCCCTCTGAACACCCCAAACCACCCCAAATACCCCTTGAACACCCCAAACCCCCCCTGAACACCCCAAATCCCTCCCCAAACCACCCCAAATACCCCCTGAACACCCCAAACCCCCCCTGAACACCCCAAATCCCTCCCCAAACACCCCCTGAACACCCCAAACCCACCCTGAACACCCCAAATTCCTCCCCAAACCACCCCAAATACCCCCTGAACACCCCAAATCCCTCCCCAACCCCCCAAACCCCCTCTGAACACCCCAAATCCCTCCCCAAACCACCCCAAATACCCCCTGAACACCCCAAATCCCTCCCCAAACCACCCCAAATACCCCCTGAACACCCCAAATACCCCCTGAACACCCCAAATACCCTCTGAACACCCCAAATCCCACCCCAAACCACCCCAAATACCCCCTGAACACCCCAAATTCCTCCCCAAACCACCCCAAATACCCCCTGAACACCCCAAACCCCCTCTGAACACCCCAAATCCCACCCCAAACACCCCAATCCCACCCCAAACACCCCAAATCCTACCCTGGATACCCCAAAATCGCTCAGGTGTCGCAAAACCCCCACAAACACCCCAAACCACCCCAAACCCCCACCTGAATATCCCAAATCCCACCCCAATACCTCAAAGACCTCCACGAACACCCCAAATCTCCCCCCAACACCCCCCTGAACACTCAAATCCCACCCCAAGACCCCAAATTCCTCCCCAACCCCCCCCGAACACCCCAAACCCCCTCTGAACACCCCAAATCCCTCCCCAAACACCCCCTGAACACCCCAATCCCACCCTGAACACCCCAAATTCCTCCCCAAACCACCCCAAACACCCCCCGAACACCCCAAACCCCCTCTGAACACCCCAAATCCCTCCCCAAACCACCCCAAATACCCCCTGAACACCCCAAATCCCACCCCAAACCACCCCAAATACCCCCTGAACACCCCAAACTCCCCCTGAACACCCCAAATCCCTCCCCAAACACCCCCTGAACACCCCAAACCCACCCTGAACACCCCAAATCCCCTCTGAACACCCCAAATCCCTCCCCAAACCTCCCCAACCCCCCCCGAACACCCCAAACCCCCTCTGAACACCCCAAATTCCTCCCCAAACCACCCCAAATACCCCCTGAACACTCCAAACCCCCTCTGAACACCCCAAATCCCACCCCAAACCACCCCAAATACCCCCTGAGCACCCCAAACCCCCTCTGAACACCCCAAATCCCACCCCAAACCACCCCAAATACCCCCTGAGCACCCCAAACCCCCTCTGAACACCCCAAATTCCTCCCCAAACCACCCCAAATACCCCTTGAACACCCCAAATCTCCCCCCAAACCCCCCAGGACCCCCGGCCGGATATTTGCACTCGGCAGAGGGGGGGTCCCTGCCCGGCGGGGGTCCCGGGGGGGGCCGAGGGCGCTGACCGGGAGCAGCTCCAGGTCCCCCCCGAAGCCCGCGGCCGCCAGCGGGGGCGGCACCGGCAGCGGCAGCGGCGGCCCCGGGCACGGGCGGAGGCGGCTGCAGGGCGGCCTGGGGGGAACGGACCAGTTCGGACCAGTACAGACCAGTCTATCCCAGACCTACCCCCTGCCTCATCCCAGTTTGACCCTGTGCTACTCCCCAGTTTATCTCTGTTCCGACCTGTCCCAGTCCATCCCAGTTCGTCCCAGTTCATCCCAGTCTCTCCCAGGATCACCTCACTGCATCCCAGTCCCTCCCAGTCCTTTCCAGTTCATATCCCAGTCCAACCCAGTCCTGAGTGCGCCCAATCCATCCCCGTCCCCTCAGTTCATCCCAGTCCATCCCAGTCCATCCCAGTTCATCCCAGTCCATCCCAGTCCCATCCCAATCCTTCCCAGTCCATCCCAATCCCTCCCCAGTCCATCCCAATCCCTCCCCAGTCCATCCCAGTCCCCCCTAGTCCACCCCAATCCTTCCCAATCCTTCCCAGTCCATCCCAATCCCTCCCCAGTCCATCCCAGTCCCCCCCAGTCCCTCCGAATCCCTCCCAGTCTATCCCAGTCCCTCCCAGTCCATCCCAGTCTCCCCCATGCCATCCCAGTCCCATCCCAGTCCCTCCCAGTTTACCCAGTGAAGTGCCGGCTCTGCACCCTCAGCCTCGTTCCCGCCTGTGCCCAGGGGGTCTCTGGGCTGGGGGGGAGGGGTGACACCCCAGTTAGGGGGTCCCCAGGAATGGGGTGACCCCAGTTGGGGCTGGGGGACCCCAGTTCAGGTGGCCCCAGTTTGGGAGTCCCACCTCAGGGTTCGGGACATGACGTTCCCATCGACGCTGACACAGAAGTGGAACTCCACCTGGGGAGGGGGGCGGGGGGGTCACTGGGGAGCCCCCTCCCCTTTTTGGGGACCCCCAAACCTCCCCCCCAGTACCTCGGGGTGCACGAGGCTGGTCCGGTGCAGGAGCCACCACAGGGACCCCCGGGCGGGGCTCCGCAAGGGGGGGTGACAGAGCTGGGGGGGCACGGGGGGGACCCCAAAATCCCCCACGACCCCCGGTGGATGGGGGGGGGGGGGGCAGATCTGGGGGTCCAGGTGGTACCCCAATACCGCCCCAAGGAGCTGGGCCCAGTTTGGGGGTCACCACCCCATCCCCCCCTACTCCCCCCGTGTGTTTTGGGGGGTCCCAGCCCCCCTCCGTGACCCCATTTCCCCTCCCCCCCCCGTGACCCCATTATTTCCCTCCCACCCCCCCAAATCCAGGCCACCCCGACTATTTTTATCCTCCTGCCCCAATTCCCGCTCCCGGGGGGCTCCCGGGGCCCCCCCGACCCCAATTGCCCCCCCCAAGGTGACTTTGGGGGGGTTGGGAAAGAGAACAGAGAGAGGGGGGACCCCAAAATCCCCCCCAGCCCCCCAAACCTCACCTGGAGGCTCCTTTGCACCTGAGCCCGGGTGAGGATCCGCCTGCAGCAGGGGCGGGGATTTGGGGGGGCCCCCGGCAGCTCCTGCACCCCCCGGGGGGCTGGGAGGGATTTTGGGGGGGGTTTAGGGGGATTTTTTTTGGGGGGGTTAGAGGTTTATGGGACCCCCCAGTGGGGCTGCGGAGGAGGTTGAGAGGATTTAGGGGGTCCCTGAGAGGTTTTGGGGGGCTCTTACAGGAGTTGGGAGGGTTGGGGGTGGTCAGGGGGCCCCTGAGGGGTTTTGGGGTGGTCTCTGGGGGGTTTTTGGGGGGTCTCTTACCCCCACCCAGCACTTCAGGGTCGAGGTCACAGCTGAGGGGTCCCGTGGCTGTCACTGGAAATGGGAGGGGTCGGGGGGTCTGAGGGGAGCCTGGACCCCCCCAGGATCCTCCAGGTCCCCTAAATACCCCCCATGATCCCTCAGGACCCCTCAGAATCCCTCAGAACCCTCCAGGACCCCTCAGGATCCCCCAAGACCCCTCTGGATCCCCCCAGGACCCCTCAGGATCCCCCCAGGACCCCTCAGAATCCCCCCAGAACCCCCCCAGGACCCTTCTAGGACCCCCCACCCACCTGTGAGGGTGCAGAGGGGCTCCCCCAGGGCCCCCTCCTTCGTCAGGGCCACCAGCAGAGCTCCCCTTCGGGGCTCCCCGTTTTTGGGGGTCCCCAGGGCCACCAGGAGCTGCTCCAGGAGCTGCAGGGCCGGGAGAGGTGGTGAGACCCCAATGATCCACCCCAAAATCTCCAAAAAAACCCCAAGCTCCCCCTTCCCTCCTTCCAAGGGAGCCCAGAGACCCCCCAAAGCCCTCCAAAACCCCTCAAAAACTTCCCTCGGGGCCCTCCACCCCTCATAGAGACCCCTGAGGGGCCCCCAGCCCACTTGAGTGACCACTGACCCCTCACAGTGTCCCCCAGAGAGGCCCCCCAATACCTGCCAAGCCCTATAACCCTGTTTAGTGACCCCTCAGAATCCCCCAAACCACCTCTAAAGCTCCCACAACCCTCTCTAGTGATCCCTGAGCCCAAAAAACCACAAAAAATCAAAAAAAGCCCCACAAAACCCCCCTGGCCCCCTCACGGCCTCCGCCGCCATCTTTGCCCCGCTCTCCCCTCAGCGCCCCCTGGCGGATGGCGGGAAAACCCCCGGAGGGGGGCGTGGCCTCTGCGCCGTTGCCATGGCAACAGCCAGGCCGGGGGCGTGTCCATGGGCGTGTCCGTTGTGTCTGGGCGGTGGGCGTGGCCTCAGGCCCCGCCCCCCGGGGTGTGATGAGCTGCCGCGGGCTCAGCGCGCGCCGCGGCCGCAGCGCAGGTAAGGGTGGGGGGGGACACACCTGAGGGGGGGTCAGGCAGGGGGAGACCCCCCCCCAAAACACCCCAAACCCACCCCAAAAACCCCCCCAGGGGTCCCGCAACCCCCTTCGGCCCCGCTGATCCCCCCCCCCGCGGCCCCCCCCGGGCACTGCGGCAGCGGCTCCGCATCCCCGGGCAGGGCCCCCCCCACACGCGTTGTCCTGAGGGGATTTTGGGGACACCCTCACCCCAAAATTCGCGTGTTTGTGCCCCCAAACCCCCCACCTCAGACCCCCCCGGCGCTGCGGGCGCTGATCCCCGTTAAGAGCATTAACGGGGGGGCGTGGAGGGGGAACGGGGGGCTCTGGGGGGGCTCTGGGCAGCCGGGGGAGGGGGCTCGGAGGAGTTTTGGGGGTCCCGAGGAGGAATTTGGGGCGCTCGGGGTTTGTTTGAGAGGATTTGGGGGCGCTCAGGGTGACCCGGAGAGTTTTTGGGGGGGGCTCTAATGATGGGGAGGAGGTTGGGGGTCCCGGGGGGGATTTGGGGGGCCTCAAGGGGGTCTCGGGAGAGGTTGGGGGGACTCGGTGCAATTTGGGGGTCCCTGGGAATGCCCGGGGGGGTCCCGGGGGGACCCTGAGAGTTTTGGGGAGGGGTCTCGGGAGGAGGGAGGGGAACTTGGAGGAGTTTTGGGGGTCCCACAGAGGAACTGGGGGCTCCCGGGGGGATTTGGGGGGGTTCGATTTAATATTGGGGGGGGGGTCTCTACTGAAGGTGAAGTTTGATTAACGGTTTGAGGGGGATCTCAATTAATTTGCGGGAATTCCTGTTAATTGGTGGTGTCTTTATTAACTTGGGGGGGGGTTATTAATTTTGGGAGGGATTTGTCTTAATTTGATGGGTTCTTCATTAATTTGGGGCGCTTTTCCTTAATTTTGGGGGGGTGTTTCTTCATTAATTTAGGGAAAAACGCTGAATTCGAGGAGTATTTTAATTAAATTTCGCGGGGATCTCCCTTAATTTGGGGGTCTCCGTTAATTGGGGGGGGTCCCCGTTAATTTCGGGCTCCCCGCGGGTCACTTTGGGTGGGGGTCACCCCCTTTGTCCCCCCGCAAAGTGACCAAACCCCTCCCCCCACTTTTCCCAGCTCTCCCCTGAGCTCTCCCAGCGCTGCCCCCCCCCCAAATTTGGGGGTCCCCAAAGGTCGCCATGCTGTCCCCCCCCCCCTACGACCCCCTGGAGCTGCCGCGGTTCAGCGACCCCCGCTGGGAGGGGGAGGGGGGCGCGGGGGGGCCCGAGGAGGAGGAGGAGGAGGAGGACGAAGGCTCCGCCCGGCGCTTCGAGCGCTCCCGCATCAAAGCCCTGGCAGGTACGGGATGGGGACACCCCAAAACTGGGGGGAAAAGGGAAAAAAGGGGAGGGGGAAATGGGGAAAAACGGGGGGGGGGAAATGGGGGTGGGGAAAGATGGAAAAAGTGGGAAAAAGGGAGAAAAAGTGGAAAAAATGGGGGAAAAGTGGAAAAAAAAGTGGGGAAAAAAGGGAGGAAAAGTGGAAAAAAGTGGGGGGAAAGTGGAAAAAAGTCAGGGAAAAGGGAGAAAAAGTGGGAAAAATGGGGGGAAGTGGAAAAAAACGTGGGAAAAAAGGGAGAAAAAGTGAGGGGAAAAAGTGGAAAATGGGAAAAAAGGAGAAAAAGTGAGGGAAAAGTGGAAAGAATGTGGGAAAATGCACGAAAATAGAGGAAAAAGTAAAAAAAACGGGGGTTTGTGAGGAAAGTAGGGTAAAAGTGTAAAAAGTGGGGCAAAATGGATAAAAAGTGAGGAGGAAAGTTTAAATGCTGTAGGGAAAGTGGAAAAATGGGGAGAAAAGAGGAAAAAGTGGAGGGGAAAGTCCTAAATTGGGGGGAAATGCATAAAAGTTGGGTGGAAAGTGAATTAAAGTAGGGGGGAAGGGGAAATGCAAAAATTTGTGGCAAATGCACAAAAATTTGGGGGGGAAGTGTAGAAAACAGAGGAAAAAAGAAAAAAAATGAATGAAAAGTGAAAAATTGTGAGAAATATGCAAAAAGTAAGGGAGAAGTTCAAATATTGGGGCGTAAAGTGGAATAAATGTGAAGAAAAAAGAAAAAGTGGGGGGAAAAGTGCAAAAGTTGGGGGAAGTGCAAAAAATTGGGGATTGCAAGAAAATAGGGAGAAACGACACAAAAAATGGGGGGAAAGGATAAAAAATGGGAGAGGAACCCAAAAAAAAAGTGCGGAGAAGTCAGCAGAAATATGGAAGATCCCTAAAAATGGGAATTTGGAGCCCTGGAGTGTTGGGAGGGGTAAATAAGTGAGGGAAACACAAAGAAAGTGATGGGAAAGTGGAAAAAAAAATGGGAGAACAGCCCCAAAAAATGGGGAAAGGAGCCAGAAAATGGTGGGAACTGCATCAGGAAAATGAGAGGATCCCGAAAATGGGGATGGGGAACCTAAAAATTGGGGAGATTGACCCCAAAAATGGGGAAATCTGCCCAAAAATGTGAGAAGACAGCACAAAAATGGGGGAAAGCCCACAAAAAAATGCAGGAAAAAAGCCAAAGCAGGAGGAAAAGTCCAGAAAAAAGGGGGAAACACCGAAAAATTAGGGAGAGAACCCATAAATGGAGATGGGGAATCCCAAAATGTGGGAATGATCCCTAAAAGATCAGGAGAAAAATAAAAAAATGGGGGAAGACCCCAGAAAGTGGGGGCACACTGTGCAAAAATGTGGGGAACACCCCAAATTTCCCCTCCCAAACACCCTCAGTCACCCCAAAACCCCCCAGGACACCCCCAAAAACCCCCCAGTCGCCCCCAGCTCCCCCAAAACTCCCCCAATCCCCCAGGAACCCCCCTCAGGAGCCCCCTCAAGGACCCCCCCCCAAATCCTCTTAGCATTAATCCAGCACCGGCTGATGCGGGGGGATCCCCCCGGGACCCCCCTCGGGGGCTGCAACCCCTGGGGGGCTTGGGGGGGGTTTTAGGGGCAATTTTGGGGTTCTTTGACCCCCCCGTGCCCCCCCACCCCCGATCAGGATGTGCAGAAGGGGGATTTGGGGGGCTCTGGGTGGGGTTTGGGTAGTCTGGGGTGGTATAGGGAGACCTTTAGGGGATTTTTGGGGGGGTTTTGGGGGTCCTGGACCCCCCCCATGCCCCCCCAGACGAGTGTGAGGCCGTGCAGAAGGAGAAGGGGGGGTCTCGGGTGGGATTTGGGGTCTCGGGTGGGATTTGGGGTCTCTGGATGAGGTTTGAAGGATTTGGGTGGGGTTTGGGGGCTTTGGGTGGTCTGGGGGGATTTTTAGGGGGGATTTTGGGGGTCCCTGACACCCCCGTGCCCCCCCAGACGAGCGCGAGGCCGTGCAGAAGAAAACCTTCACCAAGTGGGTGAATTCCCACCTGGCGCAGGGGTCGCACCTGGGCGACCTTTACAGCGACCTGCGGGACGGGCGGCTCCTGCTGCGGCTGCTCGAGGGGCTCTCGGGGGAGACCCTGGTGAGTGCGACCCCTCCCCAAATCGGGGACACCCCCCTCAAGGCGGAACCCCCCAAAAACAGTGACCCCCCCCAATGGGAGCCCTCCCCAGAATGGGGAAATCCCTGTGGGGACCCTCAAAAAGGAACCCCCGGCTGCTCGTGGGGGTTTCAGAGGGGGCTCCTGGTGAGGGCGACCCCTCCCCAAATCGGGGACACCCCCCTCAAGGGGGAACCCCCCAAAAACAGTGACCCCCCCAATGGGTGCCCTCCCCAGAATGGGGAAATCCCTGTGGGTCGTGGGGGTTTCAGAGGGGGCTCCTGGTGAGTGCGACCCCTCCCCAAATCGGGGACAACCCCCTCAAGGGGGTCTCTGACTGTGCCCCCCGGCCCTGGGACATTCCCTGACGGTGCCCCCCGGCCTATGGGGGGTCTCTGACAGTGCCCCCCTGCCCTGAGGGGGTTCCCTGACGGTGCCCCCGGCCTATGGGGGGTCTCTGACTGTGTCCCCTGCCCTGGGGGGGTTCCCTGATGGTGCCCCCCGGCCTATGGGGGTCTCTGACTGTGCCCCCCTGCCCTGGGGGGGTTCCCTGACTGTGCCTCTGGCCCTGGGGGGGTTCCCTGATGGTGCCCCCTGCCCTGGGGGGGTTCCCTGACGGTGCCCCCGCCCAGCCGCGCCCCACGCGGGGCCGGATGCGGATCCACTGCCTGGAGAACGTGGAGAAGGCGCTGCGCTTCCTGCGGGAGCAGCGCGTGCACCTGGAGAACGTGGGCTCGCACGACATCGTGGATGGCAACCCCCGCCTGACCCTCGGCCTGGTCTGGACCATCATCCTGCGCTTCCAGGTGGCCAGGGCGAAATGGGGCAGGGGGCGCGGCCCCAACCCATCCTGTGGGGGCTGTGCCCGTCCTTGAGCTTCTCTGGGGGGTTTGGGGTCATTTAAGGGGGACCTGAACCCACCCAGGGGGGTTTGGGGTCATTTAAGGGGGACCTGAACCCACCCAGGGGGGTTCGTGGTCCTTTTGGGGGAACCAGAACCCACCCAGGGGGGTTTGGGGTCATTTAAGGGGGACCTGCACTCACCCTGGGGGGTTTGGGGTCATTTAAGGGGGACCTGAACCCACCCAGAGGGGTTTGTGGTAGTTTTGGGGGAACCTGAACCCACCCAGGGGGGTTTGGGGTCATTTAGAGGGGTCCTGAACCTGCCCTAGGGGGTTTGGGGTCTTTTTGGGGGACCTGAACCTGCCCTAGGGGGTTTGGGGTCATTTTGGGGGGTCCTGAACCTGCCCTAGGGGGTTTGGGGTCATTTAAGGGGGACCTGAACCCACCCAGGGGGGTTTGGGGTCATTTAGAGGGGTCCTGAACCTGCCC